GTTACCTCTTTTTAGCTGTACATTCGTCGTTCGAAGAGACTTCAATACTAAAAGTACGGATCGCTCTTGTTTTTTACGTGTAGAGAACGTTGGAAGCACGTTTTTATTTTCCACGTGGAGAGTATACATTCGAGCAAATGTTTTTATAAGAAATCAATCTCTCACACTTCACGTCAAACGAACGAATATTTACTCTTTACATACTTTAAAACTGGCCCTCTATAACCGTCCTTCCTCCACGTCTCGACATCTTTAGCTGCTCTCTGAAAAAATAGAATCAAACATAGACACGCAAACACTCGCTTTCAAATACGATCGCTCAACCGCCAAACACCACGTTCACTTGCGCCGCCACCCACCATGAAGCTCTCCGCTATCATTGCCTTGGCTATGGCCACCGTTACTCTCGCCTCCCCGGCAGCAGTAGGTTACCAATTCAAAGAGTTATGCTAAATGTGGACAAGTTGCTGATGAACTGTTTCTAGTTCAGTCTCGAGCGCTCGACGAAAGCTACTCGAGATGCCGACGGCGCCACCATCTTGTCTCCTTGCATCGAGTGCCCTTGCGATGGCTTCACGGGGTATTGCACTTGCGTTAGTATTTCCACAAACTCATCATGGCCAACGCTGACGGACTTGAAGGTTCCTAACGGCTGCTGCTGCACTTAGCAGAGGTGACCAAATGGGCGATTCGAAGCGCCGAGGGGCACATGTTGTGAGATCAGGTTTCTTATGTATTTGCACGGATGTACATGGTAGCGTGGGTAAATGGCGTCTGGGCTGGTTGATATTCGATTTATATGGAGAGAGCCACATTGCAATGAGCATGGAGCTAGAGCGTCTGGTGCTTTAGTTTTGGATATATACTCTGGGGGGAATTGGTTTACATCCAATCAACTTCTTTTGTAGGTTGAGAGCTGTGCAGTAGAAAGAAAAGTGAATTATTCAATTTAAAAAACCCGTTCGACACTTTTCCTCTGAAGTGACCACGGGTGGAAGAATATCTGTACAAAGTACGAAGTCGTGCCTGGCTCAGACTATTATAAGAGAGGCGGCTCGGCTAGACTTGCCCCGCGTCACAGCTCCACTAAAAAGTTGTCTCGCGACTCTTCTCGCGACAGCTGTTGACAGTCAAACGCTACTACGGCTGCCTGACAGCATCAACAATGTCAATGTTCCAGAACATATGCGCCATTCCGCTGGATCATGACCTGTTTACTCAGGCTATCCACGCGGAGGAGCCAATTGTGTCGGTAGGGCTTTCCTCAGGCCATGTCCAAACATATCGGCTACCCGCAGGCTCGAGCGATGACAGCGACGGCGACGAGACATTGGCCTCCGAGAATGGATTTGGTCATATCGAGACGGCCTGGCGGACAAGGCGGCACAAAGGAAGCTGCAGAGCGCTTGCATACAGTCACGATGGCGCGCAATTGTACTCAGCTGGCACCGACGGCATCGTGAAAGCTGCTCATCTTACGACTGGACAGGTCGCTGCAAAGATTGCTGTTCCATTGGATCCGTGAGCCAATTACACGTGCATCCACAGAAGATTATCAACTGACGTGTTGTAGCGGCTCGGGTTCTATTGACGCGCCTTCTATCGTTCATGCGCTCTCTCCGCAGACACTCCTCCTAGGCACTGATTCGTCGGCCCTTCACCTCTATGATCTTCGCGCTTTAGGGCCTAAAGCTGCATTGAAGCCCCAGCAAACACACCATCCACACGACGACTACATATCCTCTCTCACGCCGCTGCCCCCGACTTCGGAGAGCACTAGCGGTTTTAGCAAGCAATGGGTCAGTACAGGAGGGACTACACTGGCAGTGACCGACCTACGGCGAGGTGTCATGGTACGCAGTGAGGATCAAGAGGAGGAACTGCTAAGCTCAGTCATGGTGACGGGTTTGTCCAAGAAAGGCACTAGCGTCGGTGAAAAAGTGATAGTCGGAGGAGGAAATGGCGTTTTGACTCTGTGGGAACGCGGCATCTGGGACGACCAAGACGAACGCATCACTGTTGACAAGACTCCCGGAGGCGGTGAAAGTTTGGACTCACTTGCCCTATTCCCCGCTGGTGTTGGTCCTGGCGGCAAAGTGGTGGCTGTCGGCCTCGGCAACGGAATCGTACGGTTTGTGAAAATTGGAGTAAACAAAGTTATTGGACAACTTTCTCACGATGAGCTTGAGAAGGAGGGTGTCATTGGTCTGGGCTTTGATGCTGACGGGCGCATGATCAGCGGTGGTGGAAAGACAGTGAAGGTCTGGGGTGAAAAGGGCCCAGGCGACGGCTCTGACGAAGAGGAGGAGGCTGAGTTTGCAAGTTCTGCCAATGGTGCTAAACGTGAGCACGGTAGCGACTCGGATGACGATAGCGATGAGGAAATGGGAGATAGCAGCGAAGATGAGAAGCCTGCACAAAAGAGGAAGAAGAGGAAGAGGAATAAGGGCAAGCAACAGCCAGGCCACGGCATTCTTGGTTTCTCCGGACTGGTTTGAAATGATCGCCTCTTGAAATATTTTTCTAGCGCAACTCTCACGATCTCGATGAGTTGCCGGAGCACGCATAAGCAGTTCCGAAGTGCCGCTTCCGCAACAGTGAACTTGGATAACTCCCTATCCAGTGGAGTTGACGGATAGGCCAAGGATTGATACCCAGATGACGATATTCTTGTGTACCACTAGATCAAATACGACGAATGTGATATTTCACGCATGTTCCACAGGAGATTTTCATGCTTTTACCAAGCCCGTTTAAGTGAAATGACCCAACGTGCACGCCAGGCAGAGCCGCTGCATTCACTAATCAATTGACGTTTCCAGGCACAACCCAAAAGCGAGGCACTATCCAGGATTTTTCATTTCCGCGATGTAGAGATTTCATCTTTCGTTGCCCAACGATACCATTTATAGCCTTTTGGTATTCCTTCTTTCAGGACACCCAACTGGACTCTCCAACACAAGCATATTCTGTGCTTATTAACGCTGGTTAACCCCAAACACCACACGCTTCATCATCAACCACACGACTACGAACCGCGAGTTCACAGGTCAGTCTACCCAGCCCATCATCTATCGCAAGCTTCTAGCGCGCCTCCAAAACATGCCCCCCACCCATGCTCGGTAATCGCACCTAGCAGCAACCTGATCCAGGTCTCACACCACAGGTCTCACACCAAGCCCTCAATTCATCTAATAAATTACCCACAAAAGTCCCCGAAGCGCGCTCCCCAGCCCTCTTAGCCTTTCTTAATCTACACTTCTCACCTCCCATTGGTCACCACCTGCCTCGCTTAAACAATAGAAGAACCGCTCTAGGAGCTTTATATTGCTTAATCAAACATCATGTAACTTGACTGAGAACGGACCGAGTTGTCCGCGGTGGAAAAGGTAGGGTGTGAGGAAAAAGCGGCTTAAGTGCCTCGTGGTGCTATACGAGGGGGTGATATGGTTGGTGGATTTGTGCTGCGTTTTCGAGGTTTTTGCTGGCTGGGATCGGGATTGGGGGGTTGTATGGTGTGTTGTTTCTCGGTGACGATGGGGCTTTTTTGGGTTGTTTGGGGTAATGATGTGACGCTGTGATACATAGAGTGTAGATATTGTAGAGACGGAAGTGTGTACACTATAGAGATAGAGGGTTTACTGTGGGGCTCTCTGTATAAAGAAATGGTTTAAATAGTGTGGGATGGGACGTTCTCCTTTTTTGTTTGTGTGAAAAGTACGAGCGAGTGTCTTTGATCATAGGAATCTTCTGACTGGCGATTTTTACATCGTAGTATATACTTTTACGATGAAGTTCACGTCTTCCCTCGCTCTCGCCGCCGCGGCGTCATCGGCGTCCGCGCACACGATCTTCGTCTCGCTCAACGGCGGAGCTGTTGGTGATGGTGTCAGAGTTCCCAGCTACGACGGCGTATGTTGTTTCTCCCATTCTGCTCCTCTTCCATCTTGCAAGGTCCCGAAGTACACCAGCTAACCCGTCTTGTTTCCAACAGCCCATCACGGACGTATCTTCGAATGATATTGCATGCAACGGAGGGCCCAACCCCACGACCAAGACATCGACCGTTATCAACGTGCAAGCGGGCTCCACGGCCAAACTCACCTGGCGCCATACCCTGACCTCGGGCTCCGGCGACGTGATTGATTCGAGCCACAAAGGTCCCGTCATGGCGTACATGAAGAAGGTCGGCGATGCGAAGACAGACTCAGGCGTTGGATGTATGTTCTCCTTTCTCCCCCTCTCCCACATACACGCAGACCCATCCCCGCACGCAAACTCCACAAAAACTCCCCAAACTAACAACCCCCTCCTTCTTAGCCGGCTGGTTCAAAATCGCGCAGGACGGGCTCGACTCGTCAGGGAAATGGGGCGTCGACCGCCTCATCGCCAACGGCGGCATCCAAACCATCACCATCCCGCAATGCATCGCCCCGGGACAGTACCTGCTGCGAGGTGAATTGATCGCGCTGCACAGCGCGTCCAGCGCCAACGGCGCTCAGTTCTACATGGAGTGCGCCCAGATCAACGTCCAGGGCGGCTCCGCCAGCAAGACGCCGTCGGCGGTTAGTTTGCCTGGTGCGTACAAGTCGTCAGATCCGGGGATTTTGTTCAACTTGTATAATGGCGCGAAGACGTATACGGCGCCGGGGCCGGCGGTGTTTACGTGCTAGATTGAGGGAGAGGGGGAAGGGGCTTTTCGGGGTTTGTTTTCTTTGTAAATATGTTTTACTGATAGAAATTATGGAAGTTTCTCTTTTTGAACAAGAAAGAAAGAAAATCGCTTGGTGAGATGATCTTTGACTCTCTGTAGGACGTTATTTAAGCAGTACGATATATCTTTAACAAAAAAGAGATTACGGTTTATACGCAAGCCTTCAACTAATCATAGTGCCCAAAGAACATGGCCTGCTTCGGGGTTCTTGCCATCATCCATCATCCTATATACATTCGGCCTCCTCCAAAATAGCAAAAAAAAAAATCAAAAAGAAATAAGATGCAGGTCAGAGCGGGGCTTGAACCCACGACCTTGGCGTTAACAAGTAATGTTATTAGCACCACGCTCTAACCAACTGAGCTACCCGACCGGTCACGGCATCTATTGATGTGATTTGATGGTGAAACCGCTGGATCTTTCTGTATATAAATCGCTACAATATTCTGAAGAGAAAAGTCATTTGCTTCCGTGTGGTGAAACTGAACAACTACATCTTCTAAGCGAACTGCGGTGGGGTGGCGGGGTTCGAAATGACTCCACGCGCGCGCGCGCGCTCTGCCGAATTGGGTTTCTAGCTTCCAGGGTGTTGGTGCGTAGTGGAAATACATACGTTAGAATTGATGGCAACGATACTATTTTTTTTTTTTTCATGAAAGTAATAGGTTGATGAAGAATTGCAACAACCATTGTCTCGCAAACATCTCAAGTTTTATCTTCTACCTTGTCTCTCGTTTTTGATACCTTCTAAAAAAAACTGCTCAATAACGAACGGTTGCTGAGCAGCCTATATACTTACCCGATGCATATATACCGCGGAAGTAATAAAAACACAATAATTGAGAAGCTACTGAAGATGATGGTAAAGATGAAGACGAGGATGACAATACCTAGAAAGAGAGGGTGCGTGATGGGATATCAATATCTTTGACTCTATTACATAGGCATCCCGCTACCGAAAATGAACACAACGTAAAGTTTAAACGGGTATTTGATTCTATTACGGGGATTGAGCTGGCCTATTATGGAGTAGTGAAGAGACGTTAAACTGTTAATTCGATACTCAAAACTTTCAAATGTAGAAAGGGGAAGTATATAAGCATTTTCCCTCCAGCATCTTCCCGCTCCTACACATCATGTCCGCCGCCTCCCTCCCCGCCCTTCTATTTTTTACATTAACCTACCCCCTCAGTACCGCCGCTTTCGCACCTGCAGCAAGCCTAGCCGATTTCCTCGTCGGTTGTGGACGAGGAGCAACATTCGATTTACTCTTCGCAGCTCTCTTCCTCCCACCACCATCCTTCCCCGTCTTCCCATCATCTCCCTTCTTCGGTTTCCCTTTCCTCTTAGCAGAAGCAACACTCGCCGCCGTGATCTCTACACTATCCTTCACCGCATCACCTTCTCCTTTCCCTCGCTTCCCACGTCCAGCCGTCGTCCCCTTTAGCGTTTGCCTCTCAATTTCCTTGATCTTATCGCTCAACTCCGCGATATCCAGACTCTGCGCTAAACCACCTGCATTATCTAACACAGTACTGTCTGAGGAAGACTGAAAAGAAGCGATGCTTCGAGCCCTTTGCCTTTTCTGCTTCATAACGAGACGATTCGCTGGCGTGTTCGGTGGGACTATGAGACGTGGCTCTGAATAGGGGACATCATATGAGTGTCTTCGTTTTGTTTTCCCGGTATCGATGGGAACGGAGGAAGTGGGTTTCTTTGTCTGTGAGGCCTTGCGGGGTTTGGCTTGAATCGGTGGGGTAATGGGATCTATAAGTGTGGGACTCAGGTTGGTAAATTGCGTAGATATGGAGGAAGCGCGATGGCTTGTTAATGTTGGGGAAGGTGTTGGTGCTGAGGAGCGACGGCCGCGGCGGAGGGTGTCGGCTAGTTGGTCGTCGCTGAGGTCGAGGTTCTGAGTGTGGATTATGGCGGAGTGATCGCTTTTCTGGGATTCTGCTGCGGGATGTGGTGTCGGGGGAGAAAGGATGTCGGACAGTCCGCCTCCGGACTTCTTGCTCCATCGTCTAGCAGGTGCTAGGACGAGCGGCTCTACGTATGGCCGACCTAGGATTGTGGTCTTGGGTTTCTGTTCTTGTTTGGAGGCGCGACGGGATGCTAGGGCCGTTGTTGCGGCGGACTTTTTGGTCTCGAGGGCTATTTCTTTAGGGGATTTGCTTTTTCTGGATGAGTTTGATGTTGGAGAAGGTGTTTTCGGGACCACCTTTCTTTTGCTTGGGGTTGCTTTAGTTTTGGGTGGAAGAGAGTCGAGAAAGTCGGGATTTTTCTCGACTGTGCTACTCTTCCTCGAACTGCTTGTACGTCTCGCAGTAGGGGTACTCGATGCTTGAGATTTTGGAGATCCTTTTGAATCCAATCTTCTTAGTTTAGGTGATTTTGGCTGGATACTACCTGTTCTGGAAGATGTTTTTTCATCTTGGGATGTATGAGAGTCCCCTACCGATGTGTCGTTTTTGCGAATCTCACCAGCATCGTTACCATCATCAGTTAGCGACCGCTTTCTCTTCCGACCTGTCGTATCCTTTGGATGTGATGCTTCGGAGTTGACATCACAGACTGTCTTCTCCATAGCAGTTGATTTTTTTCTCTTTTTGCGCGAGACGCTGATACTATCATCGTTATTTTCAAGATTTTCGACGCCGCCCTTTCTCGCATCGGCATGTTGTGCATTTGAGGCTCTATTCGCTCGTTCTTCACCTTTCGTCCCTTTAACGCTACGTCTCTTCAATGTGTCAACATTTTTTGGTGATACTGCTGTCACTGAAGTGTCGTCTGTATTCTCATATCCCGCGGCGGCAGCTGCGGTCCGTTTCACACCACGGTGTTTTCCGCTCATAGTCTTTGAGGAAGCGTCAACGTTGGTATCGATCTTGAGTCTGGATTTATGCGGCATCTTCTGCGGACCGACCTCAAGTGACGGCCGTTTCAAACTACTCCGCCTTGGGCTCAAAGTTGTGATTGAGCTGACATCTGCATCATAGTTGTTCCCCGCGTCATTGTACGCGACTCTCCGCTCCACCGTAACGGGCGAGAACGAGACTTTCGACATTTTTCGCTTAGTAGTTGTCGATTTGCTGGTAGTATCTGTGCCTCCTGTCTTGCTCCTCATGCTACTTCTTGTTCTCGATCTAGGGATCGCATAAAGAGCATTGATGCCGTTGGAGATGGTGCTGGAGCGGCGGCGCCTGCTATCATTCTCATTTCGCTGCTCTTGATAGGAATGATGGAAGAAAATGTGGGAAGCTTTTGCTTCGCTTGGCCACTTGTTCCATTCAGCGCCGCAAAACGGGCAGCGGTCGATAGCTTTTGTTTCGTGCTGTTGATAATGTCTTTCCAATGAGGAGCGGCGCCTGGCGCCTAGGTTTTGCAGGCATACCTCACACTGATGATCAAACTGACCGTGATGGTGATGATGAGAGGCTTGTATCTTTTTCATCATGAGGTAGAGGTTATGCTTTAGTTCCGCCACGGGCATTTGCTCGATGGTAGTACTGAGTAGACTGTCGGTCTCAACATTGTGAAGGAAGAGATCTTCCCACGCCATACGTTCTCTTTGGCGCAAGTTGAGGGAGCTAACGGTGGAGAGTGTCGATGCTTTTCTACTGGGTGGAAAGGAGGGCGAGTATGTGGTTGCGGGGATCTTGCTTATCCAAGAAGTAACCATGGGCATTTCCTCACTGATTCTTCGTTCGAGAGCGTATGGTGTAGTTGGACTGTTCATTTTGCGCAACAGTGCTTGCTCGTTGTCTTCTGCGTCAGTAGGCATATGCACGATATGCCAATAAGCCTCGTCGTCACGCGTCCAGGGTTCATCTCCGACTATGCTTTCAATGGGTCGCAGTTCGCTGGGTACTTCTATAGCTGCCAATTTTTCGGCAAGACTTCTCACTTTGGGCGGGTTGACCGGTGGTGAAGTGGGAAGCCGCCCCGCCGGGTACAATCCTGGAAGGTTCCTGATGAGGTGCTTCCATTCCTGTACTTTGCCTTCTCGAACCCATCGTTCACGCGCCTCTTTCAACACTATTGCACATCCCTTGTTGAAGAGGTCTTTCTCAATACCCCAAAGTGCCGTTTTGTACTTTGATGTCTTCGGCGGAACGGAAGACAGGCGGAATTTACGAGGCGCCGCCTTTTTGACGAGGATTGTTCGCGAAGACGGACCGGAGGTGTTGTGCAGTGATACATTAACATGGTCATCGTGATGACTTGCTGTAATCTGACTACTAGGATCTACCGTCTGGTGTTGGACGCTTTCCATCCCTGAATTGAGCCACTCCGGATTCGGTTGAGTAGGGTCCTCCCATTCCCCAGGAATGGACCAGAAATAATAGTGTGGCAGATCCATATCCGTGAATCGTATATAGAACAAATTATCGATGCTTTTCTCCACATCTTCATCGTCATCCATAAGCGGAAAATCCAGATAAGAAGGCACGTAGCATATAGGAGGTCGATACTCGGAAACCGCATATATGTCTAACATCTTCTGTCGTTGGTCTTGCAATCGCTGAGCTGCTCTCCGCTTGGGCTCAACCTTGTCTATCCCTCGACCCTTACCCTTCTCTTGTTTGTGACCCCTTTTCTTCTTCTTATTCCACTTGGCATACACATCAGCAAGCACTTTCTTAGAGGCGCCTCGAGGCGGGAGGTTAAGATACATGCGCCCGTTCCACCACTGCACTATCGTTCGCTTTGCCCAATCTGTTCCACGTTCGATCACAGCTCGCTGGAGCTGCCCATACAACACCCCATTTCGAGCACAATCTTTGGCGTGCTCGGAGAGCGGTGGGACGAAATCCGGACCGACTTCTTCAGGATACTGACGACCTGGTAGTTCGAGCTTTTCTTTTGATGTGGTGGTGACGAGCTTCATCACGGCGTAAGGGAGTTTCTTTGGGTGTAACTCCGGATTGATTTCATCGTGAAGTGCGCTCCATGGCGATACGGGTGTCTGTGGAGAGTTCAAAGGTGAGCTCGTTGAGGGGGTCGCTGGTGGATCTGTCGGTGGCTTACTTTCATACGGCCATTCGTAAATCCTCAGTCTTTGCGCTGGATAGACGAAAGAGAGGGAGGAAGATGTTGGAGTTGCGCCGGTTGTGTATGACTCGTCGTCCGTTTCGATGTTGACACCATCCGACTCCGATTCAGTTGTATCGCTCACGTAGTCTTCGCCTTCATTTCTCCTCCTTTGTCTATCTTCCTTCTTCCTAATCCTTTCCCTCTCCTTCCTTCTTTTCTGAAGTTCAATCATCTTCCTCTTCTTTCGCCTCTCTCTCTCGGCTGCTCTCGCTTCCATCTCGTCTATGCGGTCTTTTTTTGCTAGCGCGTGTATCATTGCGACCTTGCCCATGTCTT